GTACTAACGCAGCATCAATCCACCATTAGCAAGCACCTCTGCTGTGCAGTAAAGCATGTACAGTAGGTAAGGTAGGTATTCCGGCAGCTTTTCCCCGTTGGAGTCCATATTTCGAACTCGTCCCCGCGCCGACGGACCGCTGTTCCCGCTTTGCACACGCCGTGTGTTGCATGTTTCCTTACTCGGTACCCAGTAAAACTAAGGTACTACATACCCAGGGTAAGTACCTAGTTCTGGGCGTCTATAACATGGGTGCGTCCGGTGCCGCGCTTGCACCCTCTCGCGACGACAACATCGACCGGTCCAAGACAGACAGGGTCTCACGATGGAGGTGGGCATGCAAGCACTGATGCAACGCAACGGGTGTCGAGGGACCGGACCCTAGTTCGAGTCTGCGCTGCCTTGTGGGGGCTCTCGGCGTGGGGGATGCAGAGGAAATCAAAGAAATCAGAATACCATTAATTGCTGCTATGACTACTAGTGGCACAGCGACTCCCCTCACGGCGCCCTCATCCTCATACTCTTCGTAGAGCTGTAACTCTTACTACCTAGGTAGGTCTGCTGAATTGTTGGTTAGGGGTACTCGTCTAAAGAGCACCAGAGTAATGGCTGACAGCCAACGTAGGTATTGCCTGACGAGGCCAAACCAGGCAAAAGCAGCAGCCAAGGTCTAGGTATGAATAGCGGCAGTGATGAAGCCGCGTGGCTGTTCCATCTTCTGGCAGGTTATTGACGCCGTCTCTGGTCCATCAGCATCAGCCAGTGGCGCTACTCTTATGGCCACGTTAGAACTACCAGTACTTACCTACTACTTACCTACCGATACCTACCTAAGGCAAGGTACCTTGGCCATTGACCCTGAGGCTCCTTCTTTCAATCAACTACTACCACCAAGTAAGTAGGTGCCTCCCTGTGTAATAGGCATTTCATACACTCTACGAGATTTATTCTACCAAAACAGTTGTCCAGATTTTTCTGACACAGCACGATGTAGCATTTACTACTACAGTCTACCTAAATACCTACCATTGATGCCTAGAACGAATGTCTTCATAGCAACTGGTGACGCACGCGGGAAGCCGACGATGAAGTACTACAACATCTCAAACAGTACATAATGAGGTACAGCCATGATGCAGCCGGTGGTTCCTCCCGCTCTTATCTGCTAGCGGCAGCTTTATCTCGCTGACCAACTTCTTTGACATGTGCTTGTGGGACTCCTTCTCCAAGCCCCTCCAGCCCCTCACGTCTCGACCTCATTCTCCGTGCTCTCTCTTCCTTCGTCCTCTCCTCTGCTCTCCAATGCCTGTCACCACCACCATTTTGTTTTCTCTTTCTCGCCTCTATGCCCTAAAGCAGCGCCACGCAGGCAAAGGTCAGCTCCGTCCGAACCACCCCTCTTCTTCTTCTCTTCTGCCATGCTACTCTACATGTACACACACGGCCGACTAGCCGCCTCCCTCCCTTGCAGCTCCTGCGATGCTCGACTGTCTCGTCCTTCGGCTGCTCGTTGGCCTGCTGCCCCCACCCGCCTGGGTAGCTGGCAGCGGGCCACGCGCTCGAGCCGGTTCGTTCTCGTGCATCGGAATCGCCAACCCTTGTGCATCGACCGGCGACCCTGGCCGCTGAGTCCGGCAAAAAGGCTGCAGAGGCACCAATCATGGCATCGCGACGCCGCTATTGGACGAGCGCGGCCGGTGCTAGCTCAGAGAGGCAAGCCGTCGGTAATGGACGACCGTGGGCACCAAGAGCAACAAGTCAAGGGATGTATATACGAGTACTCACAGGTAGTAGTAGGCAAAACCTACCGTATGTGGTGTGTATTACCTCGTCTCTCGTCTTTCTCTCGTCTCCCCATTCCAGTCCCCGATCCACAGCCAGCCAGCCACCAAGTCAAGTTGCCGCTACCCTGCGTGCCCACGTTTTATCGAGCAGCTAACGAGCCGTTCGGCAGGGTGCTCGGACGGGCGGGCATTAGCCATGCGGCCCAGCCCAGCTCACGCAAGGGAGACGAGACGAAGAGTAACCTGACGAGACTCGAGTGACGAGGGCTCGTCGTCGATGTACAAGTACCGGTACGAGTAATAGTGTGTGTGCTCGCCTCCGCGTGTGTGTGTGCTATGGCAAAACGCCGAAGGCGAGAACTGCCGCGAGCTGCCAAGCACCCTGACTCTCAAGTACAGTATCACTACTTGTTCTGCTTGCTCTCTGGCCAGTCGCCTGCAGATCGGCTTTTACTCTGCAGTTCCTGGATCCAGTCCAGTAATGCTGGCTATATTCTATCCACGGCCGGTACGCCACAGACTTGCTTCTCAATAGTGTCGAGCCAAGGTCAAGGGCAGGAGAGACGGTACTCGCGCGAACGTCGAGACAAGTCCACAGCGTGGCCTCGGGACCTTAACCCCGAAGGGCCACACCCATTCTTACCCGGCTTGTTGTTCCGCGATCCCTCGTGCCTCTCTATTTTTACCCTGCTGGAACGGCGGCTCACCGATTTAGGCTCTTTGAGGGATCCTACGAGTGGCGTCTCTTGCCGGAAAGGTCCCCCCACACGGGCCAAGGACAAAGGCTGCCTGCATTCCGGGTACATACAGACAGCAGATTGGCTGGTCGGTTGCATGTGGTGGTGCATGCCTGCATGTTGCATGATGCTACTCGTCATGATACAGGGCCAATGAACATCACCAGACCCAGCTCGTCGCCAAATGGCCCGGCCACCGAATACAGGTACGATCTGGGCAGCTGCATATTGATTGATTCATGAAAAGTGTCCGGGCTCGGGTGAATATTCTTGTGTAACACGTTCGTGTCATTGCGACTATTATCGCAAAGAAGAACATACATACAGTTTACCTCACGGAGAAGACGCAGCACCGCCCACTTGTATATGGTGGCGGTACTTTGGGATGCATTCACACCCTGTTTGTCAGGATATTACCAAGGATGACCTTGGAGCTCTGGTTACTGCCCGCCTCGCTCGCTTACCACGCCTCACCTGACTGACGACCTTGATTATCACAATAACGATGGCTCAAAGGTCCGGCTATTCTCAGAGCCGAATTTGCAATGATTGACGGGCGCCAGATGGCCTGCGCTGGACGACCCACGCTTCAGCCCACGAAGTCTTGGTGACGACTGTTACTCTGCGCATACTACCTTATTGCCAACTCCGGCGATCTAGGTGTTATAGGCCCGATATATCCCGGCTAGTCTTGGAATTCCTAGCATAATCCTGTACAGCATGACGGTGTCCTTTCGTTCGTCCCCAGCCAAGCTCTGACCAGCGATCGTTTCCCGGACCCTACATGCATATCGGCATCGAACCAATCCCCAGTGTTTCAACTCTCTGCTGGTGCTTCCTACGGCCTCTTCAGTGCCCGCGCGTTGCTTGTGCCGATTTCTCCAGCGTCTGTGCCTGCTTATACGACGGGCTACAGAGTCCTCGAGCAGTAAGATGAAGTGCCGCAGAATAGGGAGTACTGTACAACACGCCCAATGACAATGTACATACCAGGTCCTGTCGACCGAACCATCCCAGACAACCAGGGTTCTGGGGCCTGTCGATTGACGCCACAGAAACAATGCCTCCAGTCATCAACAGTGTGATGGCTCTGGTACTCAAGAACTGACCATCTAGTCAGCCCAAGCACAGTCAAGCGCCACCGGCTAGCATCAGCCACCACCTTGGACGACACACAAGGCGACTTGGGGACCAACAATCGCAAGTCCTTCTTTTTCACCTTTCTATCAGCCGTTCTACTTGAACCCCCTTCCTTTCAGTTCGTGCACTGGCCTCCATGCGAGATGCACTCGAGTCTGGGGTTACACTCGGTCTGATCTGCCGAGACAGCTCAGCCGCCAACTATCGGAAGCAGGCAGTTCGTCTCAAGCGTTGAACAAAAACGCTGGTTGACAGGCGGAAACGTTCTCGAGATCCGGCAGTTGGCCGCCACAATTACTTCGCCGCCAGCCGTCACACGCTTGGAATATCTCGAATGCTCTTGGTGCAGGTCAGGTAGGACAGTTACACCAAACTCATGTGCACGAACTAATATCCTGACTTTGATGGCTTTAGACCGAGCTCGTCTCCGGCAATAGACTTGATAAGAGGTCAGGCTATGAGGAACTGAATCAACATTTCAGGTTAATATCCGGCTGTGACACGACTCAAAGCCCTACCTCCTGCTCCTTGATCCCCAGTCCGTCTCTACTGCATCACCTGGCGAGAAATCATCGAATCCCAGGCTTGCAAGTCCGTGATGCTGCCAATATAGTGAGCTACCGTTCCTATGAATCTTTATGCGATGGCCTCGGGCGAACACCCGTTATAGCTCTGCTACATCACATGGACCCACGATATGAGTTGTGCCCAAGCACAAATGGATTATCCTGGAAACGCCTCGCCCCTGTTGGCCGCCATCTACCTAGTCAAAGCGAAGCCTCACTCAGCGGTCCGCGGCTAGCCTTTGGAATGGGAACATTTGAGGTTGCTTCATGCCTGACATATAATGGCCATCGATCTTTGATTAATCAACAAGCCCCGGCATAATCCAGACGAGTCGATCTTTACTCTTTCTGTGCGCAAAAATTGTGGACATGTTTATCTTTATCGTTGACGTCGACGACCAAGCGAGTCCTTGCACGAAGGCATAGATGAGCATAGCAGCTTCCGCCGAAGGAGAAGAAGAGAAAGGGAGACTTGTCCGATACGCTTATTTGCTATTCACTATCACTGAGGCGGCACGCTTCACCGCATTCACTCACCAAACCGTTTCATCCAGCCTGCTTCCCACGACTGAGCGAAATATATCTTCATGAGAGGCTTCTGGGTAACCGCAGTAGCGACGCTGCATCTGCTCATAGCAGTCGGTATTACTATGGCACGGGCTCTTGCACCGCAGCTTTTGACCCAATCCGTCGTCAGCAAAATCCAGCTGCCAACGATCCCGTTGAGGTTGGTGAACACCGCGCCAGGAAAGCCAATCAAACCAGGAACTGAGCTCCGGATTCTTCCAGTTGGAGATTCAATCACCTACGGCTTTCTGAGCGACCAAGATGGAGGTGATGGAAATGGATACAGGCTGCAACTTCGGCAGCATCTATCAAGTAAGAAACAAGCAGGACCTAACACAGTCAGTTGCTGATATCGATGGATCCTATCTCACTGCTAACACTCTGAGTGAAGAGGACAGAGTTGTGTTTGCAGGCACAGAGACGTCAGGCAACATGACGGATGGCTATTATGTATGAAAAGAAACAAAAACCCCCGCTATAGTCTGCTTATGTGTCTCATGGGATGCTCATGAGGTGCGAGCGGATCGATCCCCGTGTCGACTCACAAGCTAATTGTTTCATCCTCACTCCATCGCCAGGCTGCTTGGAACGGCAAAACGATCCAATACATCTCGGACCACGTCACACCCTCGCTTGAGCAACGCCCAAACATCATACTGCTTCACGCCGGGACAAACGACATGAATCCCAACGGCGCCATTTCCAGAGAGGGCCACGACCCAGTAGCTGCGTCTGAGCGTCTAGGGAGCCTGGTTGACAAGATGACGACCTTGTGTCCAGACGCCGTCATCCTCGTCGCCATGATCATCGGGACTTGCAATGACGAGCAAGCTCCGCAGACAAAGGTGTTCCAGTCGCTGATCCCCAACGTGGTAGCACCCAGGCTCGAATCTGGGAAGCACGTGCTGGCGGTGGACTTTTCGACTTTTCCGCTCGACAAGCTGAGGGACTGCATTCATCCCACAAATGAAGGATATCATCTTCTCGGATACTACTGGTATGACTTTATCGCTCAGATTCCGCGGGACTGGATCACGGCTCCGGTGGGAGAAGATCCCCAGAGGCCGGAAGAGCAGAATCTCGCCATGCGACTTGAGACGGACCTGCTTCTTCTGGGCCTTTTGGGTCTATTGGTCGTGTTGATGTATGCTTGATCCCGTCGATCTACTCGGCTAGATCGGCTCTCTGGTTCGGAAAGCCCTTTGCTGCCCTCTCTCTTCCCCTCTCCAAAGAGCAGATACCATCAACGTTCAGCTTCCTCAACTGCCAGAAGGCGCTATAATCCTCAAACTCACAACACCAAGCACATACGACCATAGGTAGTGGAGAATTCGGGGTCTCGTCTGCTCCCCCAGAGACAAACCACTAACCGGCAGATTAGTAGTCAGGTGGGTGACCACTGGCGAACACCGGCTGTTGTATGTTTTTCTTTTTTGTTTCATCCTTACTTTTATCTTGCTTGTCTTGTTATTGCCCTGCAAGGGCGTGTGACATGGCGTTACTGAAGCCGTTCGTTCTGTCCTACCTTGAATATAACAGGCAGATAATGGCGGCAGCGAGATTATGGTAAAAATCATGCTGCAAAATATATTAGAGATCTGCGTGTAATGGACAGGAAGTTGAACTTTATACAAGCACCTGCAAGAAGTGATGAGGCGGTTGTCTCGTCGGGTGTATTTCCGAGACTGCCCAATATCTACTACCAACATATGGCACTCGGTCAGATAGAAAGAATACTTAGGTAGCTAGGCTTACAGTAAGTAAACCACCTCTTTTGATACAGAAGAAAAAAACGGATTGCATCCGAGAAAAGGAAAGGGACAAAAAAAGAGAAGTCCAGCTTCATAGGGCAACTGAAGAGCTTTGCTCCCGGCAGGGCTTGAACCTGCGACCTTCGCATTACCAAGACTAGTGGCCGAAACGACCCGAAGTATTAGTACGAAGCTCTAACCAACTGAGCTACGGAAGCCCTCGATATGTTTGAGTCTTCCCAATTTCGCAACATACATTTGGCACAGTAGTGCACTGGTTGGGGGGGGAAACCGGAATATCTCACCCATCGCCTTGTTATTGGTGATTGGACAGCTTTCTGTGTGTTTATGGTTGCGTTTCCATGTAATGACAATGCAAAGCAATGTGCAAATATACACAGAATAACATCGTTCCTTGTTACAATGTGATTTACAATGCACTGAAAAGGAATTACCGCCACGGCTCATGCCTTGTCCTGCAGCGCAGCTACACAACATTGATATTTCGAGTATTTCATAGGGTAGGTGGGTGTCACAAGCCGCCAGGTGAGCACGAACGCAGCTATACGTTGGATATCTCCGCACGTCATGATGAATATGTACTAGATAAACATGTCAACACTGCTGTGAGGCATTTCATATCGTGATACAAGGAATACTCATGTTGTATTGCAGACCACAATCTTCAGGTACTTCCTGATGTCTACTACCTAGTAGGTAGCTACCTACCGATCATCAGGCACTTCGTATTCGTACCAGGTCTCGCCAGAGCAAGCCTCGGAGGTCGTTCGGCTTAGTCATCAACAAGATTTCCCTACCTTACCTCAGGCCCCACTATGACCTCTACCGGCATTCGACGTCGTGAACTTTGGGAAAGAAACAATCCAGAGAGCAACATCAATAACATTTGACAAACCGACGTCAGCCCAATTGCCGCCAATAATCACCGAGCAATCACACCTGCACTATTCTATTCCTTGCGATTCAGTCCAGAGTTTATTAACATCATCTGCAACGAGACGAAATTAGCGAACTATAGCCCAGCAGATCCTCATCTGCAACCTGCCGAGCCATGCCCAAAGAAAAGAACTACAACCCCGTGCAAGCCCAGCGCAAGGCTGACAAGGCTCGCGAGATCAAAAAGGGTACGTCGAGACTCATTGTTTTATGGGAGCAAAGGAAGAGGACAATCAGCGGTCGAGGACTAACAAGCGGCGTCCCCTCCAACAGGAAAGGCCGAAGCGCAAAGCCGTCGCAATGAAAAGCTGGCGCGCAAGAACCCGGAACGCATCCAGAAGCAGATCGACGACCTCAAGGCCGTGGTCGCCAAGGGCGGGAAGCTGACGCGCCACGAGGAGCAGGTCCTCGAGGGCCTGGAAAAAGAGCTCCAGCTGGTGCGCAAGGCCAGGGACGCGCTGGGGGACAAGGCGCCCAGCTTTGGCGGTCGCCCCTGGGATGGGTCGAGGCCTGGGGCGCTGGGCAAGCGGAGGCGTGGCGACGACGACGGTTCGAGCAGCGACGAAGACGTCCCCGAGGATGTGAAGAGGATACCAATGCCGAGAGACACGCCGCCGCCGATACCAAAGGCCGAGATGGACAAGTGGTACGCGAAGCGAAGGGCAAAGCGGGAAGCCGAAAATGCGGCCAGGCGGCGCGAAACGGGCGACGACGAGGCACGTGATGGCGAAAACAAGACCAAAGACGCGACGGGAGATAGGGGACAGAGAAATGCGCCGCCAGTGGAACCCAAAACGGTCTACGAGGCAAAGCCGGTGGTGAGAGATCTCAGGAAAGAGGCCGTATCGGCCTTTGTGCCCACGTCGGTGCAGCTGAAGATGAGCAAGGGCAAAGGAAAGGGCGGGCTGATGGAGCCGGAGGAGGCAGATCGGCTCGAGAAGGAGGGATACCTGAAGACGGCTGGAGGAGCACAAGGGGATGCAGACGCCCAAGTGGCTTCTCATCATGTCATGATGGAGGAGGTGGAAGACGAGGAGGCATGAGACGTGTGATTTTCGCCATCTTGGCTCGTCTTGTCTGCATAGTTTGGCGCATTCGGATTCAGGTCACGGCGTAACTGGGGAACATATCTTTTTGTGTCAGTTGATAGTCGAGCTCATTGGCTCGTGCCTCGTGGGAGATGAATAGCAAGCCACGTCCAATTCAGTCATTTCTTCCCGCCCCCTTAGTCGGCCATACGAAGAACATGTGAATATATCAGGTTGGCCGTGAACCGATTGGTGGCCATCATGCCCGCGAATCATATTGCCACACCCCAACGCACTGTGGCGCTCAATGCAACAGCATCCCCGGGATTTGGTAGGGTTGGATCCTGTATGGGTTAGCGGACCATGTCGATGGGACGGAAGGGCCTGTCGGATGATGGCATTCCAATGTCACGCAGGTGCATAACCTTTCTCAGGCGCTCTTCGTACCCGACTGTCGTCTTCCCTGGTGGACCAGAAGGGGAGAAAAGTATGCAGGGAAAGAAAGGCTGAAGAAGCCACAGACCCCATCTGCGGTAGCCTCTCCATCCTCACTCTCATCCTTCTTCCACCTGGAGCTGTGTATCCCCTCAACGACCGCAAATTCCAGCCTCGTGCCATCTTCTGACGTACAAAATATACGAAAAGCTCCATCGAAGGATCTTTGTTTCTTCTTCGCCCCCATTCCATCCTCCACACTGGAGACTTCCGATAGGTGGAGCAGCCCGGAGTGCTCCGTCTCCCGCACGAGAAAACCACCCAGAAGCCACTAATCTCAGCTATAACCTGGCAGCGCCTCTCGGGCTCCCTCGGCAGGCGGTAGCTTGGGCGGGTCTCGTCCTCTTTGTTTGGGGTCATGGAGACTAGCCCAGTGATTGCCGAGATACTTAATTGAAGCATTGTGTTTTTGCATGGCGAGAGGCGCGAGGTTCGGGTAGTTGTGGTTGTTGCTGATAGATCAGACTGTGCTCCGGCCTGTTAGGAAGCGAAGCCTGAGATTCGCCATTTTCGTGATGATTGATCTCATCATACTCCAGTATATACTGTTGTCATTCCGGCTAACAAAAGTCGATCCAGTAACATGTGGTAAAAGCTCGACTTCGACCGGCAATAACCAAGTACCTAGTGGACCGTTGTAGTACTGTAGAATCCAGTTGAGAGACGACAGTGGGAAAACCCTGCCCTGTCAGAATGGGCAAGGTCCCGCCTCAGTGACTAGGGGGGAAGGCCGGCGGTGGAACTGGCGAAGCAGCAAATGGCGAGTTTCCATTACCTACACACGGCCTTTGCGCCATGAGTCCTCGGCGCGCGAAGCTCCTCGACCTGGTGCCTGGGTTCCACTCCGACAAACGGTCTGTCGCCCCACGCCGACGGCGGATATAAACGATTAGCATCCATATAGGGCGCCGGCTTGACAACTTGCAGCGTCAAAAAGCCAAGACCTTGCTTCACTGGATCGACCTCTCTTCTTCGTCCTTTCTCGTGAGTGGCTCTGTTCATCTTTGACAAGACACTTCACGAAGCTTCTTTTGGCCCCTTCGATTCCCATCCTCTTCAACTTCATTTTGTCCTCTTCTTCATCCCCTTTTGGTCACCATCGACAACTTGGATAAACCTGTCGACGCTTTCTCTCCATCAACCAAGCTGTTGTTGTTGATCGTTGATGACATCTCTCTGAATCTATAAAGCTGGAATCAAGCACAGCGTAACCTCGACAACAACTCCTAGAGTGGGCAACCAAGCAAGAAACCCCGGGAAAAAATGGACGCCCTCCAGGTCAACTCGAGAGCGATCCACGATGAGGCCGAGTACGAGCAAGAGCCCGAGCACGAGCCAGAGATGAACAGCTTTGGATCGTCGTCAGACGAAAAGGAATCAGTTGGCGCCCCTGAAAAGGTTGCCACGACGGAAGAGCATCGTCAACAACAATCCGGCCAAGATCTGGAACGACAACAGACGATGAGATCAACGGCATCGTATCAAGAGACCTATCCAGAAGGCGGGCTCCAGGCATGGCTTGTCGTGGCGGGCTCCTGGTTCGCCATGATCGCCTCCATGGGCCTGATGAACAGCATCGCCGTCTTCCAAGCCTATACGCTCAGTCACCAGCTCGAGGGCCACAGCGAGGGCACCGTCGGCTGGATCTTTTCCATCTACACCTTTCTAGCCTTTTTCGGAGGCGTCTATATCGGCCCTGTCTTTGACAAGTACGGTCCAAGGTGGTTGCTCATCGCTGGGTGCGCGTGTACCGTTGGCGCCCTGGTTGGCATGAGCTTTTGTACAGGTATGGCTTTGTTCCAGTATTCCGCTGCTTTGGCTTTCACCCCAACAACCGAGTCACGTTCCATCCCGTTCACTTCTCGTCTCTACTCTCGTTTGTTGTTGTTCAGCCTCTTGTGTTCAGCCCCTTGTGTTCATCTCCTCTTGTTCATGACGTTAGCCCCTTTGATCGTGACGAAGGCTGACCATCCACTCTCAGAGCTGTATCAGTTCATCCTCTCCTTTGGCATCCTCGGCGGCTTGGGCACCTCTCTCACCTTTACCCCATGCATCGCCGCGGTAGGCCACTGGTTCAAGGCCAGACGAGGCTTCGCCACTGGGCTTGCGTCGACAGCTGGAGGCATTGGAGGCATAGTCTTCCCCCTCATGCTCACCGCCTTGTTCGATCGCATCGGCTACGGCTGGGCCACTCGGGTGCTCGCCTTGATCTGCCTCGTGTGCGGACTCGTGGGCATCAGCCTCGTTCGATCCCGTCTGCCCCCGGCCCAAAACGCAAAGGCCCACCCCGACTTTCGCATCTTCCGGCAGATCCCCTTCCTCCTGACGACACTGAGCATCTTCCTCTTGGAGTTCTCGCTCTTCATTCCATTGACCTACATCGCCACCTATGCTCAAGACCAGGGCTTTGGCACCACGTTTGCCTACCACCTCCTGCCGATCATGAACGCCGGCTCCGTCATTGGCCGAGCACTCCCCGGATACTATGCCGACGTCGTTGGAGCCTTCAACGTGTGCCTCTTCTCGGTGGCCCTCTCTCTAGCCTCTTGCCTGTGTATTTGGCTGCCTTTGGGCCACACAAAGGCGGGCATCATCGTCTTCTCCTTGCTCTTTGGCTTCGGGAGCGGCAATAGCATTGCCATTGCGCCCGTATGCATCGGCCGCATGTGTAAGACGCAGGAGTACGGCCGCTACTATGCCACCACGTACACAGTCGTGTCGTTTGCATGCCTCATTGGCATTCCCATTGCCGGCAGCATCGTGCAAGCCAACGGCGGCTCTTACACGGGGCTCATCATCTTCACTAGCTGCATCTACGTCGGATCAGCGTTCTTCCTCGTTCTCGCCAAGACGTGGCAGCTGGGTTGGAAGAACTGGCGTGCCAGGTATTGATTGGTTTGAGAGGAATCATTTTCATCTCCTGCAGAAACAACGAGCAAGCACAGTCTCCTGTCCTTTCTTTCCATTTGCTCCCGTCGATTATTGTCGTTCTTCTGTTCAGGATGGAAAGCGGTTATCATGTCCAAGGATCATTGATAGATATCCACGAGGTTCGGCGATGGCGTTTTGGTTCTTCATGATGAGGGAAGAGGAAAAATGTCTTCTTCACGTAACGAAGGGAAAAGTTCATGTTCGCATTGGTATCGCATCTTGTCTCGAGGTATTTTGCTTTTCTTTTTTTTCTTTAGCATGCCGTCTTGCATGTGTGTTATTTAGGCCGTACATTGGTAGCCGAAATTGGTGCAAAGCAAATCAAAATGACACGTAATGGAACGCCCTGTGGTTGCTGCTCCTTTGAACTCTAGCCCGCGATGCTGAGTGGTATCATTTAGGTCCAAGGCCTCAAGCGCAAGCTTTCCTTCTCTTTGACAATGCCAAGGAAAATCTCGTCCCTACTGTTTCTGTCAGTGCTTTTTCTGCTGCTAGAGATGCATTCTGGTAATGTGATTGGCCTTCGTGGGAAAGATGACCACTCTTGGGTTTATTTTCTCTCAGCGCTGCTTGATTTGGCAATGTGATCATCGTGAAGCTTTGCCACAGCTGGTATGATCAGAGCTTCAATCTCTTGTTCTGGATCTCCCTCTGGCACCTCGTCCGGTCGAAGCGGCCGCCCCTCGGCATCGCCCCAGCCGCCATGTCGGGCGACACGGAGCCACTGGTCCTCACGGTTCGGGGCAACGAAGACGACCTCCCATTTGCGCGTGGAAAGCAGGTTGCCGATAACGAGGTGATGCTGGTAGCGCTCAAGGCTGTAACGTGCCTTGTGGACGAGGATGCGAGGATCCGTCTCAAGCTTGAAGCTGACAATCATGCCTAAGGGAGCCCAGCCTTCGACAAGGCTCTTGAGGAACTTGGGGACGGGGTCGAGATCTATAATGAGGCGCTTGGAGCGCGGCACGCGAGGGGAGGCATCGAAGTTGTCAAACGTCTCTTCGTCTTCTATTTGTGGCGACGGGGACGGCGCGTCCTGGGGGTAGAGCTTCTCCACGATGTTTGTGGACTGGATCTTGTGCTCGGAGAGGCGCTCCGGCGGGACAAAGAAATCGGACACTGCAGCTGCCAGGTAGAGCAGGCCGCTGGAGCCAAGCGGCGCCATAAGCCGGGCGACGGCGCGGAGCTCGTGTAGGTAGTCGCCAATGGTGACAAAGGGCAGCAGGAGCAGCATGTTGTTGCGTCGGGCGCTCTGGTACTTGCGTAGTACGTCGAGAATCCTGTCCGAATCGCTGGGCCTAACAGCGACACGGCCGTCGGAATCCTCTTCGAGGAGGTCGAGGAGACAGTCGGTGGAGTGGGAGTAATGGCGCGAGTAAGGGAGAAGGCTGAACTGGCGGTGGAGGAAGATGACGGCGTATCCAGCTGAGAGGAAGTACTCGGCGCTGGTAGCACCACGGGTCCCGGCAGAGAAGTTCTAGGTTGGTGGTGATGTTACCTTAGCACAATTCCGCTTGACGACATCATCCCAATCGATGAAGAAGTAGAACACGGCAAGGGACGAGGCTTGAGGAGAGGCGAGCAACGAGGCTTCACATACATCAATGAATCTCACAGTGTTCTTTTCCAGGGGCACAGTCGTTCCTCCAGAGGTGACAAGAACCACCCGCCGGTTGGCCGCAGCATGTTGCGAGATGAAAGCCTCGGCTAATGCCGTATGGGCGGCCAGCTGCTTAGGAGGGGCATTGGAGGCGAAATAGGCGTCCTCAGCCTGGAGGGACTCTGACGCAGACATGATGTCGAGTCTGGTGTTGAGTTGCTGCTGCTGCTGTTGTTGTTGTTGTTGTTGTTGTTGTTGTTGTTGTTGTTGTTGTTGTTGTTGTTGTTGTTGTTGTTGTTGTTGGAGTAGTAACTGAAGTTGACGGATTTGGAGGTCCGAATAAGGTGGGAGGACGTTCCCTGTGTTGTTAGAGGTGAGGTATGGCGGGGTTATCTGATAAGGGAGATGGTCAACTCCGGAGTGGGAAAGTGCGACTAGCGGAAGACAGGTAGTACATACAATGGAAGGTGCTTTATTATCTGCGAATGGGCGGATAGAACATCGACAGAAAGATCTAATACCGACGTTATGCTGTATGGTGAGTGAAGAGGTATTATCATTGAAGGGCGAAGGAGAAAAGAAATCCCATAAGCAACTCGCATCGCGGCGTCTCATATACCTCAGGTGTGCTCACAAGTACGAAGCAGCTCCCATCATGACATGGCCGAATCAGACTTGAGCCAATTGTGTTACACAAGGGGAAGCCTCTCTTGTCGTGCCAATGATAGGTCCGAAAGGTGACAGATGAAGCAGTTGACGAGCATCAACAGTGGCCCCAGATCTGCGGCTCATGTCTGCTCCCACCAACAGCACATCGTCTGCCACCTACCTATCTAAGCGTCTTTGACGATACTACTGTAAACGCTGTACAGACGCCCCGGAATGTCCCTTGCAAGGCACTGCGGTGACAGTTGGACCGAGACAATGCTGCCGGCTCCGGCAAAAGGATTGCCATGGGCCGAGAGCCGAGACCCCGAGCCGGCGCCGCAACCGGCCTTTGGCTCCGTATACAGTTTACAATATCTGTCTACACTGTCCCCTACGACGTGCTTTGCGATTCATCATTAGGTACTTTCGCCATGCATGTTACGCGTAGATGTAATTCAAGAGGAGCCAAGTCAACATGATGAAAGACATTAAATATCTATATACATATATGGTCATTCAGCGGCTTCTATACCTAGTGCCCACTCAAACACAATGCCTCTTATTTGCTGCTGCCGCTCCCCGCCAACCTCCACGCTCTCAGTGGCAGGCTCTGCAGATGCAGCACCTTGGGTTTGATGTACCAGACAAATGTCGCCACGCCAAACAGGACGCAGAGGATGTTGACAGTGTAGTATCCGTCGCGGATCATCTCGCAGGTGCCACCGCCGTTCAAGCACCGCTCTTTTTCGCCCTGAATGGCGCACGAGAAGGGCTCCGTGACAAGGGGGCCCTTCAGATTGCTCGTGCTTTTAGAGCCGGGGTGGCATGTCGCGACAGTAAAGGAGTCTACCAGCTTCAAGACGAAGTAGCGAGGGAATGTGCCTCCAAGGTTAGAGACGCTATACATGAAAGATTTGTCAGTAAGTGTTCAGACTGATCCAATAAGACGTTGCAAAGGAGATGGGGGGACTCACGTTGCGAGCAGCGTCATATAAGTGCCTCCAATGACGGGATCCGAGACCTTGGCGTGGAAAGCCGAGATGGCCACAAACATGATTGTGTTGGTAAACGTCGAAAACACATGCTCGCCAATGACGACAAGGAGATACCACGTCGTCACGCCTTCCGCAGGGAACATGGCCACCGTGACCTGGGCAATCAGCGCAGCCAGCAGACGGCCCGCGAAGCCCCAGCACCACAGCCGCATCGGCGTGTACTTTTGCGACCACATGCCGGCGTAGTATCCGACTCCAATCTCAAAGGGGAAATCAATCAGCACCGTGAGCGCCATGTTGTCCTTGCCGAAGCCCTTGTCGAGCAGCTTGAGATTTGTCACGCCGTCGTTGGCCTGGAAGCCAATCTTGGCAATGAGGTGCACGATGATGATGGTCTGCACGTTGCGCAGCTTGAGAATCCCCCACATGATGCGGTAGACGTCCCAGACGCCATCCTCGTTCTGCGACTTCTCCTCGCGCTTGAGCAGGCCCAGCCCAATGGTGACAATGATGTAGGTCCAGCCCCAGAAGGTCAGGTAGCCGCCGAGCGAGACGAGACCGTCGTCGGAGGGCGTCGTCCGAACCCACTTGTTGGCAAAGTCGGAGGCGTTGAGCGCGAGGAAGACGGTGTAGGACATGAAGTGGCCCGCCGTCAGGCCCACCGTCTGCGCCGTCGAGGCGTACGACACGTTGCCTGGCGTCAGCAGCGTGAGGGCCCAGCCGTCGACGGCAATGTCTTGCGTCGCGCACATGAGCACCAGGAAGAACCACCAGAGCATAAACGACCAGACGGTAGGGCCCTCGGGCTTGCCAATCTTTTCCATCATCTCCTCCACGTTGGACCCCAGCCAGAGCATGCCGAAGCCGGACAGAAACTGGATGGGCACGATCCACGTTTTCCGCCGGCCAATCTTGGAGCTCCATACCGCGTCGACAAAGGGGCTCCAGAAGAGCTTGAGCGAGTATGGATACGAGGCGAGGCTGAATGTGCCGATTTCGCCATATGACATGTGGTTCTTGAGCAGGAAAGGCACCGATCCCATGGCCAGGCCCATGGGGATGCCCTGCAGGAAGTAGAGCAGGACGAGCAGCAGAAAGCTCCTCTGGTCCTGCGCGGGCAGCTGGAAGAAGCCGACGTCGGTGGTCGCCGGCGACTTGGGAACGGGGTCGTCTAGGGAGAAGGACTCGCGGGAGATGTGGTTGGCCGCGATGCTGTCTGAATCGTGGTGGGTGGCGGTCTTGCGCCGCATCTCAACGCCGTTGCTCATCTTGCCGTTGCCGTTCGCCTCCCGCTTGAGCGAGAGGGTAGGGGAAGGCTTTGACGAAGGCGATTGAGCTCGTCTTGCACGGGCACCCATATAGCACGATGTAGATTCGCTTCGAGCCGGCACGGCGCAAGAATCAGGCAGAGTCCGTCGCGCGATTTGGAGCGTCGTGCGCGTCTCGTCTCGGATCGTCGGCAGGTTCTGAGGGCGCACGAGAGAGGTAGCGAGGGGGAGAGGCTTGCTAAGCTGCCGCTTTTATCGAGGGTAGTAGAAGAGACGGTAACGTAAAACAGCGCAGGCGAGACTCGGGTTGCTCAAAGGAACGGCGGTCGTGAAAGTCGGGAATACGGTGAAGCGGGCGTGTAGCGTGGAAGTGGATGAAGGGCGACGACAAAATAGACCCTGGCACTCGAACAGCTGCGGAGTGAAGAGAGAAGGAAGGTGAAGCCGCCAGAAACAGTCGGCGCCGGACAACGAGAACGAATGGGACGAACAAGCTGCCTAATGCATCCAGGCAGCAGTCACGAAAGAATTATCAAAATATCTGATTGTTGTTGTTGTTTTTCCTTTGTGCTGAGGTTTGGTGTGGAAGCTACCGTGGCCTCAAGGGCGTGTATTTTTGGTCGGTTCGGCTTACAAAAGATGGAGGCAAGCCTTGCCTTGCCACTTTGTAATAACCAACAAGGCCAAAGTGGGATCGAGCCAGCGGAGGGAATCTCGTCGCAAAAGAACCCCGAAAGAAGTGCCTTTTTTTTAAGTACATGTAGCCAGGAACCGGCACTAGCGTCTGCTGTCAAGCGAGTTGGATGGATATTGGATGGAATTCTCTTCCCCGGAAATCCTAGACACCATCTACTATCGTAGTACCCATGATGAGATATCATCTGCCCACCCTACAAGATTCGCAAGAAGCAGTCTGCTCAGTGCCTGCTGGTACTGTCTGTACCTCTATTATCACCTTTTCTCTCGAGGCACTCTCGGTAGGTATTACCTACCTATTCAGTGACAAGAGACGGATCTGCGAGGGAACGGATACAAAAGCACAGGCTGCAGCAGACTCGATCGACACTGAATGGATGAGACGGGGGCTGAAGGAGCATCGAGATGCAGTGCAGGATCCAGCGCTGCGACGCCCAATCATTGGCCGCGGCTTCAGGCAGCCCTGGAGCGCAAAGACACCTACCAACGGCTGGCGCTCCAGTGCTCGCATCCAGGCTGTGGACTGCTTGTGTTACAGCGCTCACAGGGCGGGGCAGCGAGCTGCCAGGGGCACATAAGGATGCCCGTTCTTTTCCAGGTTCACTGCTCCCGTCCCTTTTGGGACTGTCCTCGGCTCGGCTCATCGCATGACAGGCTAGGTGCTTCCGGGCCGTCTTATCTTATCGGCCAGGGTCTCTGCTGAGCTGCATCATTGGTGCCAAGTCGTTGCCATTGTGCGACCAACAACATCAACAGAACATCAACATCAACACCAGACTGGAAAAGCAACGCTCGCCACCGAACGAGACACACTTCGGCGCGCCACCTCATGTAGTCCTGCTGTCGCGTACTAGAGATGGACCCCATGCTGGATGAGCTGCAGGTCGACCCTCTCGACGAGGAGATTGCATCTCTCAAGCAACAAGGCAAGTCTCCAGTCTCATATACGCCCAACCACGCTCGCGCGTCAAGAAGCAGTTGCGCATCGCATCGCATAAAATCGCATGGCATCACATCGCAACACGTGCACCCGCAAGCTAACAAATCTCACCTACGCCGTCTCTATAGTCGCTCATCTGCGCAAAATCCTCAAAATCGAATGCTCCACCATCCTCTCGTCGCCCTCGATCCAAGAAACCCTCCTCTCCTCCCTAAACCCCCAGCCCTCCCCCAAATCGGCCGCCCTGCGCCCCCGCAAGCCCCGAAAGTCCGTCGTGCGCGACGAGCAGCGCCTCCTCGAGCGCTCCAAGCAGCAAGAGGCCTACAACCAGCAGTGCCTCTACCGCATCGCCGCCTCCGTCACCGCCTTCAAGGTCCGCGATCCCGACCCCAGCGCCGTCGATGGCGGACACGTCCTCGGCCTGCGCTTTGAGATTATGACGCGCGGCCAGTTCCTGCAGCCCTACTACGTGATGCTCAACCGGCCGTATCCCGGCAACGCCAAGTTCCTGCGCATCCATCGCCATACCGTTCCGCCGGCCATTCCGCTACCAGGCTTGGCAGCGAGACACCTGCCCGCACCGAAACAACAGACAGAAGACCAAGGTGAAGGGGACACACTGCCATCGCCGCCCAAACAAGATCTCGAGCGATTCGTCAAGTCTTTAAGGAGGGAGATCATGAGGTACCACAACAGGCTGGGGGTGTCGGCGGATCTGCGGCGGAGCCTGGGAGCGCACAGCAGCCAGAGCCTGATGGCCGCCGACGGCTCATTACCTCCCAACGCCATCGTCGACGTGAGCATTGCGGATACCGAGGCGAAGCAGATACGGCTCACGTGGGCCGACGAGCGAAACGGCCGCCTGGTCATGGACGACGATGGCAGAGTGGTCAAGTTTATGGTGTTTGGGGCAGAGGGGAGGGACTGGGAGACTACGAGACAGCTCGGAGAGAGCCAAGGGCACGTCGAGGACGTGGCTAAGATGTTGGAGCAGTTTGCGGCCAGAAGAGAATCATAGCAGCTTCATCCAATGCTCCCCAAGAACAGCGCGGCGCTCAGGGTTTCCATATGGCAAGCACGGCGCTCAGATCCGAAAGCACTGGTATAAAAATTTCTACGAGCATCCAGGAGTCTTGCAAGGCTGGATGCAGTGTGCGGCTCATCATTTTCACGACAGGATTTTCCAAGAGGGGGAAGAGAGAAGGCATTCTTGAATTTCAGATACCCCATGCGCCGCTTATACTGCACGATGCGCACAATTACACAAAATAATGGTCAAGAGTTATTTTTCAAGAAAAACAATCAATTCAATCACAACAAATTATCAAACACCCGCCTCGTGTACCTCGGCAGCCCACGAACAGCCATCGCTTATTCGAGCGTGTATCCAGCCTCCTTGCACGCCAGCGTAACCCCTTTGCGACAAGATTCGAAGATTAAGTTACTGTACTCAATTGACAAAAAGGAAAAAGCGGTGGGCGTGTTGTCCCCAACCAGACGTCCCATAAACTCATCAAGGTATGTGCAGTCCTCTACTCTTGTCTTCTCCCTTCCACCCCCCCTGGAGCATTACATACAACTGCTGATACGGCTTCTCACCCCAGCTTTCACCTCTTTGCACACTTCATCTTGGCCTTACAGGAACAGGGCGGCAACGGCACCCGCGAAGAGAGCCATGCCGGCGCCCTGGGTGCGGCTGACGGCGCCGTTGGGCAGGGGAACGGTGCCGTTGCCGGTAGGGAGAGGAGCGGCGCTGGGAGCAGTGCCGGCAGGGGGAGGAGGGCAGTAGGCGCCGCTGCAGCCTCCAGCAGGGCTAGCCGGGGCGGGAGGAGCAGCAGGGGCGCTGTAGGCCGGAGCAGCGGGGGCAGAGGGGGAGCCGGCAGGCGAAGACTGAGCGGGAGGAGAGTAGGCGGAGGTGGGGTAGGCCGGGGCCGAGCTGTTGCCGGGCACGGGGTAGGCCGGGACGGAGGAGGCGAGGGGAGCCGACGCGGGGCCGCTGGGGACGGCAGGGGGGGCAGTGAGAGCGGGAGCGGAGCTGCCAGGGACCGGGTAGCCCGAGGGGCCGCCGGCAGGGCCGGTAGCAGGGAGCGTCTGCGTGCTCAGGGTGACGACGGCGGTGTTGGTCGGGACGGGAGAGTTGGCCGGCGAGGAGGCGGCCGAGGGGTAGCCGGCCGAGGACGGGGCCGGCGTCTGGTTGGCGGTCCTGGTCTTGGCAGCCTCGACGGGGCAGATGGTGACGGTCTCGGGGACGACGACGGTGGTGGTCTGCTTGCCGTTGGCAGGGCAGTTGGTGACGGTGGGAGCGCAGCTGATGACGGTGTGCATCGAGGTGACGCTGACCGTGCTGGTGGTCCAGACCTGCTCGGGCTGCTCGGGCTTGCAGCTGTCGCCGCAAGGGTGAACCCAGTGCCAGCCATCGCTGTCCTCGTCGTCGCACTGGTCAATCACGACGCCGTGGTGGCTGGGGTGCCAGACGTTGACGTGGCCGGGGGGAGGGTTGGCAGAGGGCTTCTCCGCCGCAGCGGCCGGCAGCTGGAGGCCCTGGGGCAGGTGAAGCTTGAGGTCGGCACCGAGGTCGATGGTGTTGAACATGTCGACGTTGAGGCCCAGCTCAAGAAGACTGGTACCGGCAACAGCCGTGGCGGCCGTGGCAGCAAGAAGAATAGACTTCATGGTGATGGAAAATGAATGCTTTGAGTGAGTGGACGGGTCAAAAGAGCCCAAAGGGGTGCGTCGAAGAACAAAGAGCGGAGGGGTGGAAGATGCAAACGAGGCTTGCTGAGGGGAGCAGAGTCAAGAGAAAGGCTCGGCATCAAGGAGGCGAGATGATGGTCTTAAGTAGCCCTCCAAATGTCTGCCTCATCAGGACTATCAGACGCGCCTGTCCTTGGTCTCTCTCATCCACCCCTCTCCGCATCCTCCGCTTCGCTCTCCCACAACAAGGCACAGTCTCGGCCCCTCCCCTGGGTCCTCGTTTGACATCCCCGTTATTGCGGGCAGGCTTGGAGAAGGGGCTGGCTCACCAGGAAATTGGCCACAGAGACAGCGGTAGTTACACCGAAGGAGGGGGGGCGAGAACGTTGCATCCCTCCTAGTAGCAAGCGAAGATCAGAGACGGGCTACCCAAGTGTGTGCTCGTATGTACATGCGCGCATGCCGGTAGTAGTAATAACACTACCGGTGGTGATGGCAGAATGCAGTAACAGCAGCGGCATCAGAAGTGGTCGATCCTGATGCAGGGCTCCGTACCTGAGCGGAGCACGGCATGGTCGAGGTCGTGGGAACACCCAGTTGTCGTTATCATGTCGTGTGGCCATGTTGTGTCATTCGCAGTCTCAAAGTGACACTAGCTCATCTCTTGCCTTTCTCTTTTTTCTCTCTACCTCTCTCTCTTTCTCTCTCTTCGTGGCATTCATTCAATCAGATGCTCTCATCGTGGTCACATAGAGTCTCAGACCACCGCGCCCCAGGGGGGAGAGAGAGACAATGGTCCACGATGCAGAACGAAACAAGCCTTTGGGCCCTTGCATGAGGCGACGGCCATGGGAGTAGATCGGATGGGTTCTTTGTTCCTGCGCTAGCGGCAGGAGAGAGAGCCTCGCTTGAAGAAGCACCGCACATCACACTTTCCAACACCTGCTTTAGCGATATCAGGGTCTATGCTCCCTTGCCTCATTCCCCCCTTTATGGACGTCTTTTTCCTCTCTTGGAGAGATGAGTGGGGGGGAGAACAGTTGCTCGCTTCCTGTTGATGCCCATGTCGTCCAGGTTCCAAAGAGATCACAGCGAGGTGTCGAACAGGCATACTAGTACACGGTTGGCACTGCGAAGCACATCCCTCGCCCTTCAGTGGACTCGGCATCGAGTGGTTCATGGCTTCAGTGGTCGAATCAACTGTTGGATGAATGTCCAAGTTGAACGGACCTGTGTAGCTCGAGTCAAGGACCACCCCTGGTTTCCGGGACCCCGGTCGTCGGTCGATGGAGCCCCTTGAGTCTGATGAATTGTGGAGGCCGGTAGGCGATCTTCACACACGCCAACGTCCTGCTCGGCTTTTGGCCACAGCCGCTGAAGAGCCCCCCCAAAACCTCGTCAATAAGCTTGTTCGAGGCGGCAGTGGCAACAGGGCACGGCATATGCGGCTGTGAGACGAAGGGCCTCGTCTGATGTCCAGTGGCTGTTGTGATGTTGTGACGCCGACACTCTGGCGGGTTACTTTGTGTTCCGTTAACAACCCTGTCAGTATACGACCACTGTTTTGCCTCTCATCCTCCTCTTCGTCTTCGCCGCCGTTGCCCCCGACTCCCCCCTCTACCCAGAACAACGAATCCCAATAAAATTTGTGGGCATGGCAGCCGGAGGTGAGCTGGCCACGGCGGGTTGGCAGCCCCCCCTTATCCCCAGAAGCTGTTTCATTTCCGCTCCCCTACCGGCCACTGCTTGTACAATTAGTACGAATGCCACATGAATGCCAAGCTGGGTCCCAATGCAAAGGCGGCCATCGCCTGCCCAGCTATGCTGGAAATAGTATCGCACAGTCTGGGGAAAAGAAGCGAAAGGATGAACAAGGAATAATCAGACAGAGGCCTCAGCAGCCAGACCCTGCCGGCATCTTGACTGCCGGTGGCCAAATTGGTTCCGTGATATTGCCGGCCTGTCATGGCGGGCTTCTCGATTAAGCCAATCCGTTATCGCCGTTTGGCTGCAGACCCGAGAGGGTAGCCAGGGGGGGGGGGAATGAAGCTGTAGCAACGAAGAAGATACACATAGTAAGGTATCATGAGAAGCAGAGCCTGCCTCAACCAGAGGCATCCATACGTACTCGTAGGTCTAATCTCTCTCCGTGCTCCTCCAGAAACACATGGTAACGTCCTACATGCAATTGGGGATTTGGCAATGCAACGTGCGCAAGAGTCATACCAATCCGTCCGGGATACAGCAGTATGTATGTATGTACAATGGTTCTCGATCCCTTTCACATCACCTCGTGCTTCACCTTGTTCGGCGGCAGGAAACAGCTCGTATCAGATGTGCATTCTCTTGGCTCTTTGAGCAACATCTCCCTGTAAATTTCGATAGCGGGCATGAAATGCACATGACAAGTGTCCCTGTTCAGGGGAATTGTGATCTCGATCCAAAAAAAGACACCGAGCCAGGGGGCCCAGTCGGTAATACCACTCTCTATCGGATGCCCCGACCTATGCTCCGACTTTGTGCTCCTCACGCTCTCTGTATGGGTTTCCATCTTCGCTGCGCTGAATGTATCTTGAAAAGTCATCCAGCACGACACCACAGCGTAACTCTCATCGAGTTTTGAATATCTTCCCTTCTTTTGCCTCCCGTCTTCAACGAGCCTCCGATGTGGCTCGTCCGACCAGACTAACGACCGCTGCGACGTCTTTTCTGGGAATTGCTGTTTAAAGATGGATAAAACGTCGCACACGGAAACTGGCAGAGCGCAATGACGGAAAGCCATGTTGCCTCATCAAGTTTTGTCGGGGAAGTCCATGGCATTTGCGGCAACGCAAAGTCAAAGCTACATACTCCGTGACGAGGAGCAGAGCTTCGAAAAGTACGGCAGAACAAAGCAGGGTCCTCGGTCGGGCAAAGCAGACAGGCGCGTCGTGTCTGTATGTGGGTGAGCCCCATATCATCACCATTCCAGACGCTGTCTGGATGCAGGCGGCGGAAGTGTGATTGTGCCAGCGATGCCGGGAGCTCCGGTGGTCGCGTCGTCCGCTGCTGCAGCTTCCACTCGACCATCCCCATTCTCGACAGCCTCGCCATCGAGCACAGACCGATCAATCTTCCATGACTTGACCCGCTCGTCAACAATGTCGGTCCACTTCCTGATGAGGGGATGCGCCCTTGCCACATCAGCAAACAGCACCTCATCGTCTTGGTTGGCTTCAGGGTTGACGTCGTAGGTCCAGTTGCCGTCAGGGGCCCAGTAATCGGAGCTGAAGATCTTGGGCACGCTCAGCTCTTCCCGCGCCTCTGCCAACAGCTTCGATGCCGCCTTGGCTTCTTCGTTCTCGTCGTGACCAGCCCGGTCCGAGGACGTGTTTCTGAGAGCATCCTCGATGCCTTCTAGTATGCCAAGCAGCTGCCCTGCCGCCAGCCCTATCGCGGCGCCAAGGCTGAAGCCCTCGTCGAAGCCAGCCTGGATGGTCCGCTCTTTTGCCGCCGAGATGCCTTCCCGGTATCCGGCGGTGGTGTGCTCAGTCTCCAGCCGCCGCATATCGGATGGGTGAAGAGAGTTTTCGGGGCCATCGAGAGACGAAGCGGCCGCAGCAACGCCGTCGCCGGACCCCGGCTCTGCCTCAGTCTCGGGCCCAAAGACATCATCGAGGGAAAAATACACGCCGCCGGGAGCAGAGCCATCCTCCGGCGCCGCTGCTTGGCCAGAGTTGCCGCCCCGGCTTTGCGCGAGATGCTCGTCCTCCATTGACTGCTCGATCGGGCGGAAATGCATGCTTTCCTGCTCGCTTTGCTTTGGAAAATATCAGCCTACGAATGAAGGCACTGTAGTGGAAGGCACATAGAGACCAGCACAGGGCAGCAGGCCCTTGCGTTGCGTACGCTCCTGATAGGCACTCCGTACCGAACAATTACGAGTGTGCCACCGCCTCCGTCTGCCTCGCTCTCTTCTCCTCTCTCCCGCTCGCTTCTTCTTTTTCTCTCTCTCTCTTTCCCCGAGCTGAGATTCGGATATGCCCAGGAGCAGGGGAGATTCTGCCGTGCCTCGATCGGTGCGAGTTCTGCCGCTGGTAGGTTGTAGTAGTACTGTATCTGGGCGTGCTGGGCCTGTTTTTTTCCAACCAGGCTGTATTATTCCGTAGTATTACTTAGCACCCGAATGCCAGCCATGGCCATTACCCCTGCTTCCATTAGTCATATACATAAGGTACATACCTAGTGCCAATGCTTCTCGGCCGAACTAGCACCATGCAGCAAGGTGGTAGTACATACATAGTAGTGGTGTGTCTTACCGTGTGTCTTGAGGCGCGTCTCCAGAGACACTGTGCTGGTTTCACTCGGTGCCTGCGAGACAACCTTGAGAGCTGAGGCCAAGCCGTCCGATGCCTTGGTGCAACCCGCGTTCCAGAGAGCCGAGACAGTGCGCGTACAGTCCGGCTGCACCGCATGCTGGCCCGATAACCAGGACAGGCCGGGAAAAAAAAGAGTAGGGCGCCCTGCACCCTCTCACCCTCCCTTGCTTCGGTGGTTGAAAAGCTTTGGAGTTGTCGGTGACACAAATCGAGGGGGAAAGGGAGAGGTTAAGAGAGGGAAAAAAAAAAGAGAAGAAAATTTAGCAAAAGGACTTGTGTGCGCACAGTCGACACCGCCTCTCGAAGAGAATTTGCCGCCCACAAACCATCCTCCTCTTGCTTCACCATCTCACTTTTTTCTTCTCTCGCCATCCATTCTGTTTCAATTCCCTTCTTTCTTCTTTCTCCTTTCTCCTTCTTTTTCTTCTCTTCTTCTGCTCCTCCTCTCCTCCTTCTTCTTCACTTTACCTTCCGACTGCCCTTCTTCTTCATGAGGGCAAAAAGTACAACAGACGACGGAAAGGAAGAATATTCCTCACAAGGAATGATGCCACTTTGACGTAGTCTCGCCGACCTCTCCAGCAAGCACCTCTCATACACAATCTGCACTTACATACAACATCTGCTGTATGCGTATGTTGTCGTATCATCACTCCTTTCCAGGCATAGGCCATTGTTATCTTGGTCACTTCCCACCCTTTTGACAACACCCACTGTTTCTGAGCTGTCGCTCAGTATGCACGGCGAATGATGAGGCTCAGTCGCGTAGACGTCTGTGACGGTGTTGACTCTCGTGTCTCTCTCCCTTGCCGTAGCGACACGACACGACACGACATGATGCCGATGCCAACACCAGCACGCAGGCGCGCATATCAGACGCACGCACGCACACATACACACGCGGCCTCCCTGCTGCACAAATAACAAGGCAAAACTCGAGTTCGGCTCATGCCACGTATTCCCTCCCCTCCGGACTTCACCGTTTTCATTAATCATCTGGACGCCCTTGTGGCGGTCAACAGATGGGCTCCGCAGCAAATCGTCCATGCATGAGCTGTTTATGGCGCATGGCGTCAACCTTCCATCTCAAGGCGGTCAGAAAACGAAAAGAAGGCGAGGTCGGGTCAATGCTTGCTTGTCTTGCTCGTGCTGCCTGCTTTGCCTGCTTTGCCGCCTTGTTTTTGGCTCGTTTGCTTTCATTGACCCTGGCTGCTGCCTGCGTGCCTGGCTCCAGGGGGGGGGTGTTTCATCCAGCTCTCCAATCCCATCGTCGTCTGGGCCATCGCTGTCGTCGTGGGTGTCGTGGTCATCGTCGTCCACCATCACTACAACAACACCACCACCACCAACCATTTTCGTTTCACCAGTCATGCCGGTCCAGATGCCCCTCTCGTCCTGCCCGGGCCAGTCTGAACCCGTCGTGACTGCTTGAACGGTTAAAGAGGTCCATCACATGGAAGGATTGCTCTCCAGAAAAAGACATGGATAGATGCAACGCCACGACACCAGCAACAACACGACCCTCGCTCACGCCAGAAGTCGAGGCACACCAATGGTATCGTCCGCCTTGCGGTGAGATAGAAGCAACCATGCAGTCCCTGATGAGTTGTCCCATGTCGCCAGACCAAACAAAGCTTGCCGAGTCTCTCTCGCATCCCCATCATGGGTCGGAAACGGTAGAACCCAACGGTAGGTCGCAGAAGGCAAATCTGCCCGAGCGGCTGAGACTCTGGTCCAAACCTAGTAGTATCATCACGGACCCCATCGTGCCGGAGCTATGGGAGGATCGGAACGGCCCCACCACTGCCATGGAGCGGGACGACGGCGCTCCATGTGGCTTTCTTACATGCACATACGATACGTGTATGTACATATGAGGCCTTCGTAAGCTCCCTCGTGATCCTCTGTCCGGCGCGCCATCTCTCAAAGAGGACCAACGGATACCCAAGAGAGGACGCTTATGCCTGTTGAAGTAAACGTGCCAGCAGCTGAGTCGTCCCCCGGCCCCGTTCGACGTCAGGCAAGGGGGGCCATCCGGGCATGGATGCCTCTACAGCTTGCATCTGCCATGCCATGCCATGCCATGCTGTGTTGTGCTGTTCCTGTAGCTCTGCCAAGATCCAGCTGAGTATCGAACCAGAAGGCTGTGGGCTCATTCCAGGAGTGGGCTCTGGGGAATCGCTTGGATGTCGTTGCCTCGTTTTCCTGCCCCATCCACGACGAACCACTTGTTAGGAGGAGTGCGTTGTTCGACGTGTAAGCAAGGCGCTCTCTCTCCGTCAAAGGCCCGCTCATCTTGCCACCAGATGATGGGCCTCCGAGATGTCTTCTCCAACTACGGAGTACTAGTGTTAGCTTATCAGCGGCTCCCCTCGCACCACCCCCCTCCCCCCCCAATGACATCTCCCTGTCTGTGGCACAGAGTCTCACTCACCGAGTTGTCGAGCCTTCCAGTATCTCATCGCAAGGCCAGAGGGCGGCAGCGCGAGGGGGGAGAAGAGAAGGGGAGGAATGTACGTGGAAGCTGCAGCCACCGTCACAAGTAGAGAGAGAGACTCGAGGCTCGGGGAATTTTTCTCGTTCTCCCGGAGATTCACGCCAGTACGGTAATCGTTAGTGCCACCGTCTGAAAGTCATGGCCGACCCACAATGGTAGCAGTAGCAGCAGCAGTGCTTCTTGATTGTAGGATAGGGGAGGGGAAGGATGGGGTGTCCTGCGCTGTACTGAGTAGTATTGCCTGGAAGGTACTGTAGCAGTAGTACAAGTATGACAATACATACGTGATGATGCAGACATGGCCTGCTTCCCACACCACGGAGTACGGACTTGTACTCGTATGGAGAACGGACTCAGTGAGGAGCATAGGTCCAAGCCGACTGTATGTACTCGTACGTACAGGGGAACTGTGCCGTACAAGGGACGGTGCTCCGTCAGGGCCGTGGAAACTCGCGTCGAACAAGCCCCGGAACGTCGTTCTTGGATGACAACCCCCATTCTTCGGGGCCCGTTCCTGAGCTAGAAAACAGCGGCTTTGTTCAGTAGGATTCGAGAGACCCCCGTCCCCTCCATCTCCCCACCTACGCCGTCATTGCCTGCTGGCACAACAACAGTTCCCAGAGTCGATGAAACGTCGCCTCTTGCTGCCTCTTTCTCACCCGGCTAACTCCCGAAAAGGGGGCGGGGAAGCGGACAACGACAACAGGGGTTGAGGCTCTTCGGGATCCGGGCCGTGCACGTCATCAAAACTCGCCTTTTTCCTCTCTCTCTGGTCTCGTCCCTCGACGGGTTCCAAACGAGGCAAGGGAAGCTAGCCGTGGTCTCCATGCGCATTATGGGCGAGGGTGTGTACTGCAGGCCTGCCCCGTAATCGTACTTTGTATGTGGGCTTCTCATTGTATGTGCGTGTGTGTGTGAGTGTGTGAGTGTGTGTATGCGCGCGCGCGTGTGTGTGCGTGTGTGATATGCGCTTGTGGACGTGTCAGTTTAACCCCCCCCCCTGAGCAGCTCTGAAAATCGTCTGGAAGCCAGTCAATCGTTTCTGGAATGCCGTGCCGGGAAGTGATGTGTTTGCAAGCAAGGCCTCCGCCCGCCAGTTTGAGACAACCGCCATGCCGCTTGACTCCTGCTCCACAGTCTTTTTGCCTGCTGTCCCAGCCCAACGTGGTTCTCCCGCAACCCAACGCGAAAGGTCCAGCAGCGCTTCTAGAATGGCCAAGGGTTGTCCTGCATCCATGCCTGCCCCAGCTCACCTCACCCTTGCACCTGCAAAGACCCCTTCTTCCGCCTAATTCCCAAAACTTCCCACCCCCACTGCCTAGTCCGCGTCGCCCAAGTTTGGAGGAGCACTGGGCCAACCCTAAAACCTTTGGGTTCGCTCAACACCCAAACAACCACGCCCTTCTCTGTCGTACTCATCTTCTCGGTACTCGGTAGTCACGTCGTCCTAGGATCGGTAAAACAGAGACCTTGCCCCTTTCCGACAAGGCTCGTCCTCTTCCATCAGCTCTTCATCAGACGCCTCCGTTGTCTCTTCACTCGTCTCGCGTACCGCGTGTTAGCGCCCTCAAAAGGCCTTCCCAGTCTCACACACACACACCTCCCTCGTCCGCCTCTCGCCGACACAAAGCAGACGCTAGAAGGGACAAGAGAAAAAGAACATCAGAAAAAGAAGGAACAGAAGAGAACACAGACAGCCACCCCTGTCGATCACACAAGGGTAAATGGAAATTCCTGCAGGGGCGAACAAAATACATCAGGGGGGTTGACTGACCGCCATGGGTAGACCGCAAAATCGGAAGCCGTAATCATAGCAAAAACAAGCCCGACCAGCAAGAAAGCCACGCGAGACCCCATCGAACAGGCGGCGAGCTCTCAAAAGAAGGCTCTCACCGGGTCGGTGTGGGAACAGCTTAAAATATCAGA